TAAACTATACCTCAGAGGTGGGGACATACATCTGAACTGATGCACAACAGTCTACAAAAACAAAGCATTGGGGAGGCTGAGGGTTGACCACGCCTTCTCCACAGTAATAGCAACTAGATTCCCCCCCCCCCCTTAAAAGTGACCTTTTTTAACAAAGAAGGTTTCTGCAAAAACAGCTAGTTGGCCAACCACTTCGTAACTCAAGCATGAAAAGGCCGACTTCAAAATCTGAGAGGGAATTTGCTCAATTCTGTGAGTACAGAGTCTATACATTTTAAATAAAGCATTGTTTAAATAAACTGCTATGGATGCCCTACATTAGCCTTAAATCACTAGGGGGGTGGTGGAAGCATGGATTCGGCAACAATATATTAGGGTTAAGGGAACATTTTAAATATGCCCAATTCACATGATGAATGGAAATGAATACAGTGGTGCCCCGCAAGACGAATGCCTCGCAAGACGAAAAACCCGCTAGACGAAAGGGTTTTCCGTTTTTCGATGCACTTCGCAAGACGAATTTCCCTATGGGCTTGCTTCACTAGACGAAAAAGTCTTGCGAGTCTTACGATTTTTTTCGCTCCCCCCCCCTTTTTCTAAGCCGCTAAGCCGCTAATAGCCTTTTAGCCGCTAAGCCGCTAAGCCTTTAATAGCCGCTAAACCGCTAATAGCGCTAATCCGCTAAGCCGCTAATAGGGTTGCTTCGCAAGACGAAAAAACCGCTAGACAGAGAGACTAGCGGAACGGATTATTTTCGTCTTGCGAGGCACCACTGTACTCTAAACAGATACATGGCTCAACTGGTGTGAAACAGTTCCATGGAAGGAGGAGTAGAAACTAGCTTTAGTCCAATTAAAAAAATAATGGAAGTTTAGTAGCATATCGTTAGGATGCTTTTATGTACTGGACTATTTTTCTCATTGTTTGAAGCAAAACAATTGCAGGGAATAAACTTTTCAGTTAACTTTGCACACAAGTACAGTGGACCCTAGGGTTACGTTAACTTCGGATAACAGAACTTTTGGGTTGTGAATGCGGCAAACCTGGGTTTTGCTGTGTACGCAGAAGCACTCTGCACACTGCACGCATGTGCAGAAGTGGCGCCTCTTCTTATGAATTTTTTGGGGTGCACACAGACCCCCAGAATGAATTAAATTTGTATCCGGAGGGTCCACTGTATATAATACCAGTGTATATGTGTGGGTTTTTTTAGTCATCATTTCTGTCTCTTTTGCTAGGTACTATTTAGTCCATTGAGGAATTTGGTGAAATGGGAAAATGTCTGCTCCTGCAGTTTGTAGTTCAATATGTTAGCCTTTATAGTGCACAGTATTTAAAGAGCATCTGTCTTTTCCACCTTTCACAGCCTTTGCCTGCAGTTTGCTAGTTCCTTTAAAGGAAATGCAAAAGGGAAATATATTTTGAGATCAGGGTGTTCAGTTATTTTAGAGATGCAGGCAACCCTAGAACAGTAATAGACAGCAGTTTGATGAAGGCTGCTTTGATGACATGCAACAAACCTCTGGTAATTCAGAATAAGGAGCCACAAAACCAGTTAAACTAAAGTGCAGTCAGGTTGAAAAGATAAAAGCTGGTGTGGAGCTGGAGTTGTGTCTCTACCGATGGGCAGTCGCCAAGAACCTGCTGAATATTTAGCAAAATATGCTCAACCATCCCTACAACTCAGGATTAGAAGATGCGTATGGATTAGAAATTCCATCTGGAGAGGATGTTCCTTTGTTTCATTTCTTTTACCATATTCTAATGCTTTCCCTTTGTAGGATACATCTGACATTGCTCACTTGCTCTACTCCAGTTTGCTTTTTCTCAGCATTCAGTTCAGCATTCAGCTGGTCTCCTTGCATTCTGTCTTTGTTTTTTGTTTGTTGCATCAGTTATTTAGAGCTTCCACATACTGGAATATCATCCAATTTGATACCCTCCAGACCCTAGAAAATTATTACACTTTCCCCCCACTTTGGAAAGGCTCCCACAAAGACGATATGCCAAAAGGCAAACTTCCAAATTATGCATTAAAGGTGGCAAGTTTGCTGCTGTTTTCATCCAGTTTGGTCTGCCAGCATCCCAACAGGGTATCCAGCACATTTAAAATATTTGCTGCCGCCAATTTCTGAACAATGTCCTTGAGGGGAGGTGTATCATAGCATCATAGAACCGTGGAATTGGAAAATACCCCAGGAAACATCTAGTTCAACTGTCTGCAATGCGGGAAACTCAACTAAAGCATCCATGGCAGATGGTCATCCAACCTCTGCTTGAAAACATCCAATGAAAGGAAGTCCACCACCTTCAAAGGGAATCCATTCCATTGTCAAGAATTTCTTTACCATCAGAATTCTTTTCCTGAGGTTTTGTTTCAATCTCCTTTCTTGTAACTTGAAGCCACTGATTCGGGTCCTGCCCTCTGGAACAGAATATAACAAACTTGCTCCATGTTCCATGTGGCAACCCTCTAGATATCTGAAGATGGCTACCATATCTCTTCTCAGTCTCCTCTTCTCCAGGCTAAACATCCCCAACTCCCTCAACTGTTCCTCATAAAGCTTTCCAGACCCTTGATCTTCATGGCCGCCATCCTCTGCACACTTTCCAGCTGGTCAACATCGTTCTTAAATTGTGGCACCCAGAACTAGACACAGTACTCCAGGTGTGGTCTGACTAATTAATAATAATAATAATTTATTATTTATACCCCGCCCATCTGGCTGAGTTTCCCCAACCACTCTGGGCAGCTTCCAACAGAACACTAAAATACAATAACCTATTAAACATTAAAAGCTTCCCTCAACAGGGCTGCCTTCAGATGTCTTCTAAAAGTTTGGTAGTTGTTTTTCTCTTTGACACTACCGAGAAGGCCCTCTGCCTGGTTCCCTGTAACCTGGCTTCTTGCAGCGAGGGAACCGCCAGAAGGCCCTCGGCGCTGGACCTCAGTGTCTGGACAGAACGATGGGGGTGGAGACACTCCTTCAGGTATACTGGACCGAGGCCATTTAGGGCTTTAAAGGTCAGCACCAACACTTTGAATTGTGCCCGGAAACATACTGGGAGCCAGTGTAGGTCTGACCAAGGCAGAATAGAGTGGGACTATTACTTCATTTTTTCTGGGTGCCATTAGTCTTTGGTTGATGCAGCCTAGTATTAGGGTCTTTTTTGGTTTTGCTGCTGCATCGCACTGTAGATTCATGTTAAGCTTGTGGGAATCATTCTGTCTGGAAAGCCAAAATGCTTACCCAGATTGAATGTTTTCCTTAGTACAACAATGAGTTCCTCTCAGAATGTTATAGTGGTTCTGTTCCTACCTGTAGCACTGTTACCAGAGAGAGGCATTGGACAACAGCTGCCCTGCATACTTTCAGATTATTCCAGTCTCTGACCTATGTGCACAGCACTGGCTGTTCTTTTTTCTACAAAGACTACTAAACTTAACCAGTTCTGAGCACCCTTCAACCTTCTTGATTTATCCTGGCTCCTTCATTCACTAGAGTTCCACTTAATTCAACTGAGCCAAATACTGTCATTAAGATATTTTTTAAAAAATAGATTTTGTGTCTGTAGGGCCTTCAGTTGAAATACTGGCATAGAAGGTGAGTCTACCACAGACATGTAGGCTTTAATGTTGCTTTGCTGATCCAGCACTGGATAGAGGATGGATTGATGATGCCCAAGTTCCTTTGCAACTCTACGATTCTGTGTCATCTTTACTGCGTTTGACACTATCCTTTCTGATCCTCTGGAGAAGTGCCTCCTGTTCTGTACTATCCTCTCAGATTCCCTTTCTCAGGAATGCAGTTAACTTGTACTCCCACAGCAATCTTCAAAGTCTACTAGTTCTGTCTTGGGTCCTCTGAATGATGAAAAATGCTTCCTCCATTCCAAAAAAAATACTATTATTATGTATCGTGGCTAGGTATAAATCTTGCATCAGCACTGCTGGCTTCTTTAACTTAAGAATGTTCATTCTCTGTATGAGTCAAATGTCCTTTGATGGCATATTCCTTAGGAATTTTTAAATTTTTTTTGCCTATCTTCTCTAGTGCTGAGCATTCTTCCTTTTCAATGCAAATCTGCAGTGAGCAGACACTGGGGACGTTTACTGGGCCATGCAGTCCAAGGGCCTGTTGACCCTTTCCCGTCTGCTTTTAAATTAGCGTATGCTAGAGCCTATTGTTCTCGTGTGTTCTTTGGATACTTCATAGGCTCTGTTATCTGAATAACTTTCATCTCAAGTTAATCCAGCCTCAGTCAGTATTATTTTTGCATTGCTTTTTAATTAGATCCAATAAGAATCTTTCAATGTATCACCCTTCTCTGCAAAAGTACAATCTTATATTAATTGCATAGGAGTTATGTTGTCTTGTTTCGTTAGTGGGCCTTTGGGTCTCTTACCGTTCTCTATGCTCTGTATAGTCTGTTAATGTATGAACGGTTTACACATGCAAGTTACAGGGAACCAGGCAGAGGGCCTTCTCGGTAGTGGCACCCGCCCTGTGGAATGCCCTCCCACCAGATGTCAAAGAGAACAACAACTACCAGACTTTTAGAAGACATCTGAAGGCAGCCCTGTTTAGGGAAGCTTTTAATGTTTGATGTATTACAGTATTTTAATATTTTTTTGGAAGCCACCCACAGTGGCTGGAGAAGCCCAGCCAGATGGGCGGGGTATAAATAAATTATTATTATTATTATTATTATTATTATTATTATTATGATGCTGCGAAAAAGGACAAGAGAGGGTTAAGCTAGGTGTGCTGGTTAATTCTGGGTGTGTTTGTCTTGCACCTGCAACAAGTTCAGCATGTGAGAGTGAGTCAGGAAGCATGGGAGAGTGAGTTAGGACAATCTAAAGTCTAAATATGCTTGTGTTTAAAGCAAGTCTGCTGTTGGCCCCTACCCTTGGCCAGAGCCTGGTCTGTATTGAAATGAGGTTGCAAAGAGACTCTATGCTGCTGGAAGGACTATATATTACACCTCTATGTAACCTATAAGCTGTGGAACTGCATTATACTGTCAATAAAGGGACTGACTCTAACTAGCACTGTCTGGTGTTTTTCTGTTCCATTGGCAACACTCCACTGGTGCAACATAGCTGGACGTATCCGAGTATTTCGCCATTTCTTTCCATCCAAGGCCAGCTCTCTGCAGTATTTACAGTTCCAATAGCTAGTAAGAGACACATTTCATTGAACCCTTGACGTTATTGAACACGATGCACTGTCTCCCAATTATTGTATTCAGGCTCTATGCAGCAATTGTAAATAGCTCAGCTTATTTACCAAGTTTGTATGCAAATTCCTGCCAGCCCTCCTAACCCAGGCCTGCAAGCAGGGTTTCTATAGGCCAAGGGGGAAGCTGGACTGTGTGTACAAGGGTCACAACAGAGTTAACTCACTGCAGTTTAGTAAAATACAATTACACTTTTATTTCTTCATCTTACAGCGCAGTCTGTAGTGCAAGGCTGAGAAACCTCAGATATGGAGGATATTTCAACCATCCAAGTGTCTTTATCTACCCAGCCTCCGACTCTACCCAAGGGCAATACCTTTATTAGGGCCTATCCAAAACTATGACACATAATTTATTCTTATTCTTATTCGGGAGGGGACTGCATATGAGTTTCATGGAAGTTATAGCAGCTGGGAAACCCTAAGATGCTGTGTTAATACTTGGATCAAGCGTAGGAAGGGGAGGCGGGGGGGTGGTCCACCCCGGATGTCATCCATGACGGGGGGTGACAAAATCCACACACACACACCCCACAGCACTGATCGCACACACACACACACACACACACCCTGGTGGATTGATGCCGTATTGATCACACACACACACACACCCCGGCAGATTGGCGCGGCACCAATTGTCCCACCCCCGCAGCTCCGCTACTGTGAACAAGGCAGCTGGACGATGAGCCAGAGTTTTTGGATAAGAAAGAACAATGTTGAGGGGGTTTAGCAAGCTTTTTAAAGTAATTACAGTCATACCTCGGGTTACAGACTCTTCAGGTTGCGTTTTTTCAGGATGCGGACTGCCGAAACCCGGAAGTACTGGAACGGGTTACTTCCGGATTTCGGCGGTCGCACATGCACAGAAGCACTAAATCCCGCTTTGCGCATGCGCAGAAGTGCCGAATCGCAACCCGCGCATGCACAGACACACAGGTGCAGGTTGCGAACGCTGTGGGTTGCGAACGTGCATCCCACACAGATCACATTCGCAACCCGAGCGTCCACTGTATCAGTGCGACAATAAAAGTTGGGATTTTTTATTTTTATTTTTTAAAAAAACCTTCACTTTTCCTACAGCAACCATTGCCATTATTATGTAGTGCTCAACACACACAAAACATTCCTTAACAGGAGAAACTGTACCATCTGTGGAAATGTTTAAAACCACAGTCTGTTTTGAAACTTGGTGTGAGCTGGGAGTGAGGTTGGGGAAATAGGTGTCCTAGGAGCACATCACCTTGCAAATCTAGAACTCTGTCGGACACAATCTGACAAATTAATCAGCAATCTACAACCATTGAGGGGGGAGCAGATTCTTTCCACCAAAGCAAATTGCAAGGTAGTACAAACAGTATCAGAGCACTCTTGGCACTCACTATTTGCTCCATGCTGTCAGTTAAGCAGTTTAAGGAGTCCGAAATAACAGGCAAAACTCTCTAGCTTTGAATGCACACAGGAGACAGGTGTATTTTTTGCAAGGGGAAAGTGCCACTTCAGAGGTCAGTGGGGAAGGTTGCATTTTGCACACAGCTGAAAGGTTTATTTAAAAGAAGAAGAAAAATAAAAGGGCCATATGTTCATAGCCCATAAGACTATGACAGTTACTTTATTCAGAAGTAAATAAATAAATAAAATGAGACAGCTGGAAGCACGAGAGGGATGGAGGGAACAAAGCTGTTGTGTGTGGCAATAAGCAGTTAGGAACTGGAATTCCCCCTTAAGAGGACCCAATAAAGGAAGAAACTGCAACTATCAGCACATCAGAGTTCAAGCTGGGTAGGCCCAAGTCTTCAAATTGTCAGAAGGATGGATTTGAAAAGAAGTGAAGTGTATCACTCTGAGTGCTTCAAACTCAGAAAATAAAGTTTGATGAGCTGAAGGGTCTGCTCTTAGAATTTTAGGGGTCACCAAAAAAGATTTCGGTTGAACACTCTGCAGTTGCAATGGACAAAATACAAGAGCACTTAATTCAGGTGGAGAGACTCTCCAGGGAAAAAAATGCAAGAGCTGGTTTATGGTAACAGTGCCATTGTGCTGAGGTTGGCATGTAAAGCCACACACAACTCAAGAACCCGGTACCTAAAGGATTGCCTTTAATCCTGGTAGGTTGTTCAAAAATCTGGAAGAGAGGTCCTTTCTCCATGTACTGCACAGTAGTGGAACACCCTCCTCTCAGAAGTTCAGCCGGCATCTATTGCATTATCCTTTGGCATCAAGCTTTAAAAACCTATTCCCCCCCCTGAGCCTTTTGGTGCTGAGATTTTATGGAACCACCTACCACATTTATTAAATTAGTTTATCCTCAGTGGCCTCTTGCGAGATCTCCCTCATGGAAACCTCTGAACCAGCCAAGCCTGGTAGAAGGCCACCATATTTTCTCTGGGTATTGGTTCATACCAGCTGGATTCTACTATTTCAACCCAAGCCAGAAAGGCAAATTTATTGGCCTAGCTTATGTCTTCACTCCTACCCAGATTTTCAGCATGCTGGTGTGTTTTTTGTTTATTGCTGGTTTAAATGTTTTGAATGTTTTAATCGTTTTTACTGATAATAGTAATATACTTTTCCTCTTTTCGCAAAACTCTTTTGAGGTTTTTTACAATCAAGTGGTTTACTTGATGTAAATGAATATCCATTTATTTATTTTATGAAGCAAGTAAATGCGTGAGAAGGCACTGAGCAAAAAGAGAGGCAAAGAATGAACTCTTAAAAATCTGTAAAGACTTGATTTCTAGTATGGACAAAATATGGTATGCATCATACCATTTCTGTTTCATTTCTAATTTCACAAGTCTTTGTTTTGAATAGTTTAATTAAAAAGGTAACTACTAGGATTTTCTTGCACTGATTACCAAATTAATGTTGGTTTATATGAAATAGTTTTGGGGGAAGTATACAAAAAACAACCCAGGCATATTTTGTTTTCTGTAAATAAAACTTCTTGTGCACTTAAAAAAACTAAACCGCCCTGAGACCCCCGGGTATGGGCGGTATATAAATTCAATTAATAATAATAATAATAATAATAATAATAATAAGATGTTGTTGTTGTTGTTGTTGTTGTTGTTGTTGTTGTTATTTCTGTCCCCCATCCACTCAAATGAGACATCATGGTTTGACATACAGAGAGAATACAAGCCATGAAACCTATTTTCCACTCCTCAATTTCACACGATGATGCCAAAATGCAGTGGCGTAGCGTGGGTTGTCAGCACCCGGGGCAAGGCAAGTAATTTGCACCCCCTAACCCGTGGATTTGCGCCCCCTAACCCGTGGATTTGCGCCCCCTAACCCTAACCCCCAGATGTTGCGCCCGGTGCGGCCGGCCCCCCCTGCACCCCCCACGCTACGCCACTGCCAAAATGTGATTCAGTCAACCCACCCTTAACCCAACGGCCCTATAAATCTAACTCTCTTAGAACTTCTCGTTGTGGCCTCTACATTCCACAAACAGCCACTGTTTGTAACTTCATACAACAATATGGAATTCTGCTCAGTATATCTATTAACAGGCAGCACTCCTCATTTTCCCCCTTCGGGTACACAGACAGAAAGTGGGGAGGAAATCATTGTTTTATTAAATCCTGGGAAACAAGAGTCTCGGGGAGGAAGAAGCAGTTGCTAAAGGACTCTAGGGGGTTTGCTGCCCTTTTAATGGGCTTTGCTATCCCTTTGCTAACTGGACCTTAACAGGTAATGGAATATGCTATGAAAGAAATGTCCTTGGCCCCTCTCCAACAGGTGGGACAATTAAAGGGCCTTTCTCCTAAGGGGGAAAGACATTGAAACTGCCACAGTCTATTCCCTAGATGGTGAAATGAAGATGTTTCTTCAAAGGAGCAACTTAATGGAATATGAGAAGGCTAAGCATTAGGATGCTCTATTGTTTTTTTACATTAAAAAGCCAACTCATATAAACTGGGGGGGACGACTAAAAAAGGAAAACCAATTATGTTCTACTTTACTCAGAGCTGGCCTACGCAGAAAGCCTAAGCTAATTCAGATGTGGCCTTCCAAGGTGAGCAGGAGGAGAGAATAATAGCTAAGTGGTAGAGCAGATGCTTGCTTGTAGAAGGCCCTACATTCAGTTCCCAACACCTCCAGGTCAAGTTGAGAACGTCCCCTATCTGAATGCCTGGCCAGTTGCTGTCAATCAGTGCAAGCAATACTGAGGTAAATGGGCCAATGGCCTTACTCCATATAAAACAGCTTCTTATGCTCCTCAGATGCCTTCACCAACCTGTCCATTAGATACGACCAGTGTCAGAAACTCACTTAGATAATCTAGGTGCCAAATGGCTCCTTAAAGCAAGGTTACAGTTGCTGCAACAAATGTCTGGTTGCCATTTTGGGGTCAGACAGCTTGAAAGTCATATTAAAGTGGTACCTTGGTTCTCAAAAACGCCTTGGTACTCGAACAACTTAGAACCAAACACTGCAAAGTGTTCCAGTTTGTGAACTTTTTTCGGAAGTCAAACGTGCTCCATTTTGAGTGCCATGCTTCCGTTTTGAGTGTTATGCTGAGGTCTGTCTGTTTTTGCTATTTATTTTGCATTTTTGTTTTTGAGTTTGACCAAACTGCGGGAGGCAGTGGAAGACAGGAGTGCCTGGCGTGCTCTGGTCCATGGGGTGACAAAGAGTCGGACACGACTAAACAACAACAAAACCATTTATTATGTGCTCTATCTGCAAGGTGCTGTCAGGAGCTTGTCCTACACTCGAGTAGGACCCTGGCAGAGACACATGCCCAACTGGCATGTTCTCTCCCTCCTGGTTGAACGTTCGAGAGCTTCAAAACCTTTCTTCTGCCCAAACATCACAGCGACCGATGCCAACAGACATCGGCACACTTAGGGATCCACAGAGTCTTTGCAGCTTGTGTAACAGAACTCAGCAACTCAGCATTTTGGCTAATCTACTTTATTTACATATAAA